GAACTTTTACTTGCTAAGCAGCGTTTTTTTGCACAGTATACTGGTAAGAATGTGACTCCTTATTGCAGCACTGCTCACTTTGACTCAGTTCTTTTCAGCTTTTCTACTCGTCATGGTATAATGGCAGTCCAACAGAAACATCAGAATTTATTTGCATGATGACTGCACTTTGCATGTTGTTGTTGAAGGCCTTACATGAACGCATCCCTAGATAGCTTAACCAAAAAAAAAAAAAAAAGAAGATGTTCTCATTTGTTCCTTCTGGTGTCGAGCCAATATTTGGTTTAGGTTTAGGGATATCTGCTTCTGCTACGCGTGTGCTGCTAAATCAGTACAACTGAAGAACTCAGCAACAAGTCTTTTCAGAAACAATGCCATGATTATTCTGGGTCATTCTGCATAATAAGCACTTTTAGTTTAAATTCTGGACACTTTGACATTTCTTCTGAGTTACTGCTTCGTAAAGGTTTTCATGCAGTGCTTTTAATCATAACAGAGTATATTTGCATGTTGGTATTAGTGAGTATCTGAGTAGTATATTCTCCTAAATCTGTCTAGAGCTGGAATCAAACGATACACAGTGCAGTGATGCTGTGTCTTAATCAATACAGCAGCCTTTAAATATCAAAATACACATTAATATGTAGCACGCACATCATGATTTTAATAATAATCTCAATATTTGGTCTCATACTCCTCTATGCTTATGATGGCAAAGATGAGGCCATAATGAGTTTATCTGCTGACTCTATTTCTCCTCTTCATGCTCTGAATGTGCTGCATGAATTAGCAATTATGATAATACAAATATGTAAGACTGATATCTACATACAAGGGGCAAGACAAGCAAATCAAAGTAGCTGTGTGCTAAAAAGTCAACGTACACACACACACATTTGTGACACCACTCTTTGCTGAATGACAGTCTTTACCTGGAACAGCTGGCTATGGCCTCTGGCGCTGAACCTGACCATGAATGAGTTTTAACACTTTACTTGAAAGCAATAAACTGAGGGGACTCCATTTGCTTGATGTTAACAGTATTTCTGTAGCAACTGTCAAAATGAAAAGATGTTTTTTTTTGTGCAAATGTATTAAAAATCAAAATTTGAGGGTTATTGAGTGTAGACTGATTTTATTCATTTAAAACTAAATCTACATCACAATGAAGTGTGCCAAATGTGAAGGAGTGTGAATACTTCCTGAGGAACCCTGTTCACAGGAATAAGCTCTGTCCCTGCACTGTCACCACAGGGTCATTAGTTTCGCACTGTGTACTCTCCAACTTGCCTTCTCTGCACTTTATCATTTATCCTCATTTGTTCCCAACAGATTCAACTGAGTCAAACTCTCTCGCAGCAGCTCGCTCTGTTTACCAAACAGATTCAACTGTGAAACCACCAACTGAGACAGGGCTTAAAGAAATCACCTCACAGCTACAAAGTCTTTAAACACTTTGTGTCTCTGCAGAGGCACCACAGCTAAAACCTCCCAGATCACTGGGTGTCTATCATTCTGGTGCTGGGGTCAAAATTAAGTCTGTTCAAAAAAACATCTCTCAGCACCTCCAAAGTAAAATTGTAATTATTAGTTGATCAACAGAAATAACACAGGAGCCACATAGTTAAAACTAGGATGCATGGCAATGTGTGGTCAGTGCTTTAACCGGAGCAATCACAACACAGACTTGCAGCAGCCTAACAGGGATAAAAAACCTCCAAGCAGTGTTGATAACATTAAACACAAAACAAACACGACACAAGTAATTACAATTATGCTCACATTCATAAGCACAAACGCACACACACATTTCCCTGAAGAGATTAGTGGGAGAAAGAAAGACTGAACCAGTGAGGGAGGGCAGGGGACAGAAAGAGCTCACCTTTCCTCATTATGACTACCCTCACCTATTCATCCCGCTCACCTGGGTTAGGGGATCACTCTCCCTCCTCTCCCACCTTCTCTAGCCCACCACCATTCACCTCCCAGAGATGGCCAGATAAAGCGAGTCTTTCAGCTGAAAACGCACTGACGCTGCCACTGTGTGTCCCAGCCCCCCCCTCCCCTCCCCTCCAACAGCCCGGCCCGCCCAGAGGCCCAGCCCTGAAACTCATCCAAGCAGACGGAAAACTTTCTCACACTCACACCTGCCAATCACACACAGCTACAGTGTACAGGAGCAGACAAAGAAAAGAAAACACTAGGCACAAGGAAAGTGTGACAAACACATGCAGTACGTATACAACAAACACACACAGGAGCAAAAAGTACACAGATAAGAGAAGCTAATTGGCTCTGGGCCAAAGAGTCTCACAGGTAAATGGGCTGATGCTAATCGCTAAGCGGAAACCTAAGCCAACTCTGTGTTACATTCTTGACAGTGCTCAGTGGCGATGCGTTAGGAGTCACAGACGGATTACTGAATGGGTCCCTTTGGGCCCCTGAACCAAGGCTTTTGTATGAAGTGACTGTTAATATTTCTTGTTAGGAAGTCAGTCAAACAAAGAGATGCAAAATGAGTATAAAATAAGTACAAAGCCACACAAAAGGCCCACAATGTCAAAATGAGTGACGATGCAAAATGTCTACAAAGACATGCAAAACACTCCCACAGACAAAAAAAAGAGTAAACATAGCCACAAAACATCCAAAAAGAGACACAAGGCAACTAAGAAAAGATGCAAAACTTCTAAAAGGAGATGCAAAACAACCACAAAGCGATGCAAAATATCTAATAAAGAGAGAGAGAAGCAAGACAAGTTAAACTAGACACAAAAAGAGGTGTTAAGAGACTTAAAACAACCAAAAGAAAAGATGCAAAACAACTAAAAGAGACATAAACAAAAATGACGGGTTTAAGGTTGGAGCAAATGTTGGTTATGGTTAGGATAAGTCTCCTGGAAATGGATGTAAGTTTATGTACAAACCCTGTAAGTGACAACCACAAGCATGTGTGTGTGTGAATCTGAAGCTTCACCTGGGTCTTGTGCAATATTGCAAAAATCATTACAACACACTATGATTATGAATTAGAATCACAGGGCCTTTTGTTGCCAGTTCTGTAATGCTTTCATTATGAAAGACAAGTCAACCATGTCGGGGGCGATCAAAGGCAGAAAAAAAAAAAGAACAAGAGGGCAGAAGGATTTCTTCCACTGGAGGAGAAAATCTGAGGAACAAATCCCTACAAAAACTGTGGCTCAGTGTTTCATGTACTTGCCAAGTCATTTTGAAGGGATTCCCTTCAGTTCTAGTCTGATTGATAAACAAGCATTAACTGCTGAAATGAAGAAACCAGGAAAGATGGGTGGTGGGATGGACTGATGGCTCTTTAACAACAGGGTGACTGGAGGAGTAAAGAGCTGTGCCAAATGACAGGATTTGTGTCACTCACTTCTATTAAAGCTTCCTGTTCCTGTAAGGTTCTCAGGGCACAAAGCAAACAAACTACATGACGTGAACAAGACTATAAACTGTTATCAGCCTGAAACCTTCTTTACTCTACTTTCTTTATCCTTGTAAGTATTTATTAGTTGTTTGTGTTATTAAATGTCAGAAGGTGATGTCTTCAAATTATGTGTTCAGAAGTCCAAAAACTGAAAGAGGTTCAATTTAGTTTGAAAGAAGTGATCAAATTTATCTATTAGAATGTTACATTTTGATAGATGAATTTGATTTGAAATAGATTCAATGACTCATCATTTCAGCTCTAACTAATGTGTGATATATGCAACAATGTGCACAGGTGGTTTTGTTTGGTGAAGAGGCCTTTACAGTTGAAAACCTCCATCTCTGCTTACTAAGGTTTGTGTGGTTTTATTTTTTTAGCTTCGTCCTGCATCACTGTAATAAAATAAGCAGAAGAGAAACCGCTGGAGGAGGAAAGAGAAAGGCAGACGGAATAATCGATTTCTGTTTCTTGGCCACACATGCATACTGTTGTGTTGTGGAAGATTCATTGGTCTGCTCGATAGTGAGGGCACAAGACGGAGTAGCCGGCAGTGTGATGCTTGATTGTACAATATCAGCTGCTCAATATGCCCACGAGAAAGCAACAGAAACAAATTAATAAAAGAACAAAGCTTAGGATAGATGAAGAAATGGAGGGAGGACGAGAAGAAAAGCACGCAAAGGAAGGAAAAGACTGAGGAGATCACAGTGTAATGCAATATAAATCGACAGCAAACTACAAATGAGATTCTTGGTAAGTATGATGGAATTTATTTTAATATTGTGAATCCATGAAAACGTTTAGCTGAGGTGGTACGGCAAGCAGATCTTGGCACGTTATTCAGCAGGCCTGCCTTAGACCAGTGCTTCTCGGCCTTTAGCACTTGTCTTAAAATGAAAAAGTCTACTTGTGTAGCCTGTTTTGGCATGAGTAATGATCCCAGTGTGGACACGACCAAAGAGTAAATTATTTTTCTGACACAGCTTAATGTGAAGTGTGTTTAGACACGTGATGGTGTGAAGCGTGCCACTGTGCTAGCACTTACACTCATTAGCCAGAACAAAGCCAGCAAGCCTTCAGTTATAAACAGTAATAAATCATTAATAAAGCATAACTGGTTTCTCAATTTGCAATAATCAGTAAAACTTAGTCGACGCCTATCATTAATAAATGACTCTCTGAGTCTGTAGTTAAAGATGTTAGTAAACCGTTTTTAAATGGATTTTAGTCCAGATGTCCTGGAACCATTTTCTAGAAGGTAGGAGGTTAAACAGTCCACTGGTGGGGGTCGTTTTCAGTTTTGTCACTTAACAAGGGGATTGTCTTTTCCATAATCACATACTATTAAATAGAAAAAAAGATGTTCTGGTTATTGTAAATTATTTTTCATGTCATCCCGCTCTCCATTACAGGCAGAAAAGGAAATAAAACATCTGAACTCTGTGTGTCATTGTTATTCTGCTCTAGCCTCAGTTTGAGTATATGGTTGTACTTGAAGCTTAGCCTGTTGCCTTGGAAACCATACTGATAACACTGCCCCTGTACTTACTGGCCAGGCGTATATGAAGGGAATGACAATGTGTCCATTAGTCCCATCCTCTCCTCGTTCTAATCCTCCATTGTGTCCTCGGTGGCGGAGCAACTGGGAGTTTCCACCCAGGATCCCTGTGCTGCCCGACCCAAAGGTGCAGGCTCCAGTCGGGACAACCCGGGCCTGGTACTCCTTGAGGCAGGCTTGGAAGAAAGTGTCACATTGGTCCCTGGAGGAGCAGCGCTGACCCCCACTCGCCTGGAGGTCACAGCAGTGTCCTGTCTGCAGGAGTCCATGTGGGTTCTGGAAGTGACGGATCTGAAGTTCAAACATTCCCACTGCATGCACTGCCTGAGTCCAGAGAGAGAAGTGGGAAAGGCGGAGAGGAGAGAGTCGCATTAGCATAATATCTGCTAACAAGCAGGCACAGTGCACAAGCAATTACAGCAAACAAGTCCTCAGAAATCAACAGATGAATTACATTTAAAGGTAACTTCAGGCTGTGTGAAAATTCAGGGCGCCACACACATTGGACACTTTAAAGAACAGGCATTGAGACCTGTGCACTGCAAAAATGGCTGCCTCAGTGGCGGAGGAAGCAAAGGTTGTGACTGTTTCAGAGTTAGGTCAGGTGGTAAGGGTAGTAAGCTTTTATCTGCGTTAAAATGAAGAGGTGTTTAAATTATCATCCACTACAGTTGCACGTACCCCTTTAGATTAGAAAATGAACCACAGTGCTTTTCAGAAACACATTCAGAATGTACTACAGTTGCACGTATCCCTGTAGATTAGAAAATGAACCATAGTGCTTTTCAGAAACACATTCAGAATGGAGAATGCAGGACATACAGTCTGCACGCTTCTAGTGCAGACAGTCTGGAAGGTCTCAGATGTCGAGCCGCATGCACACGTCCACACAGGGGACTAAACTGATACTTGTGAGCTTGGACAGATGACAAAACTCTACCTCACAGTGATCCCACAGAGACTATTGTGGCCATGCAGAAGTCATGGAACCCATGAGCCCTCTGTAAAACCACAGTTAGCAGGTTTTTTAAATGTACAGATTAACCACTTGAGATGCAATGTGTTAATTACTGAGCTTGCCAGGACAGCTGTTTTCAGTCTTTATGTCAAATCAAGCTACCAGCTTCATATTTAACATACAGACATGAGAGAGGCATCACTCTTCTCATCTGACACTCCACAAGAAAGCTAATATACATATTTTCTAAAATGTCAAAGTCTTGGAGGCTAATATTTAAACCACATATCAAGATCAGATTTTTCTTTCCATGTCTCCCTCACTTGTTGTTAACAGTAAAAATAATGACCGCTCATTACGATATAATTTAACCATGATGTGTTTTATCTGATCTTTTTTGTTATCATCTTGAAAAAATCTTTCATGAAAACTCAAATATTAAGACAAGCAAGAAGAGAAAAAGTTTGATGGACAGTGAATCTCCTTCAACCACAAGGAAACTAAACCCCCGTTTTGAGCCCAAACCTTTACGCTATGGTTTGGCAACATTTGTGCATAATCTGCTTTTAACAACAAACGGCTGCTTTAAAAGAAAAAAGGTCAGAAAAGTTCTTAGGGACAGGTGCATGGGACCTTTAAATGGAGAAAAGAACCAGAAATCTCTCACACCGTCAGTCACTCAGGCTCAATTTAAACATCCCCTGTAGCTCTGGCAGGTAGGTATCTGATGAAAACAGATCAAATAAACACCAGTGTGTGTGTTCTTAAAGTGTTAGAGAAGAAACTTTAAGAGTGGACCATCATTATTTCCTGTACTTTGTTGTTTTGCTACTTCTAGGAATCTGCAGCACTCATCTCTTCTGTGTCATCTGTTTATCGGTGTGTCATAAAATAACAGCGGTCAGGCCGCAGGCAGAAGGGAAAGACAGAACTCTGCCAAAATGTAACGTTTCCATACAAATCGTGGACAGATAACTAATGATCTCTCTCAGCTTCCAGCCCTCCGCCTCATCTGCCCTTGTTTTCCTTTCTTTCTTAAACACCACTCCCTTCTTATTTCGCTCTTCCCAGGGGACAGCGACACTGGGAACCCACACTTTCTCCTCCTCCTCCATTCTTCCTCTATCTGGGAACAAGCTGTAACGCTCCTGTCATTTCTCTTTCTGCGGCCATCAGCTTTTTTCAGCATTGTTGCCGTTCTCCTTTTCATCTGCCTCCCTTCCTTTCCTCTTTGTTCCCTCCCTGTGTAGAGATGGGTGGAGGGGACACACACACACACACACACAGTCACTTCCACACACACTCTAGATTTAACAAGCCCCCATGAGAGTCTCAGAGCGCCGGGGTCAGGTATGTGTGTGTGTGTGTGTGTGTGTGCACATGTGTGTCTGTGTCAATGTGTCAGTGAATGAAAACAATGGTTGTTGGCTTCTTCCAACAACTGCTAACACAAAAAAATGAAGCCTCTGTTATCTGAGTTCACCATGACACCTCTGCTGATGAATATACTGGAATAACTCAAAGCCTTGATTGCACTAATGATAAACTAATGATAGCTCATTACGTGCAAGAATCAGAATCACGTATCCCCTGTGGTGTTGTGCTCTCAATCACATTCAGAAATTACCAAGACCTATAAGATCTCATGAGTTCACTAGAGCCACTCTGTTTGGCTGCAACTCTCTCCCCAGAGCAGAGAGGGGGGGTGTATGTGTGTGTGTGTGTGCGTGTGTGTGTGTGGGGGGGGTTCATCTACATCAAAAGCTTTGTGGAGATACAGTGACACTCATCACTCTACATCCTCCTTTCTTCCTCTCCTCCTCTCACTGCCCAAGCCATTCTCTGCATACCAGCATTTCGATACTTCAGCCAGACCAGAGAGAGAGCGAGCGAGCGAGAGATGCCCGTCTCCGCATGGGACACATTGACATTAATGGGTGAGCCCCTGATCTCTGGCGAGGAAAGTGAGACTAGTTGAGTTTGCACAGGCGGACAGGATTAAAGGGAAAGTTCAAAACCAAAAAAAAACCCCAACAATAAAGATCACTCACTCGGTATCTGTTGACGTCACCAACACACTGTCAATAGTCTAAAGCAAACACGTAGAATAATAACATGAGGTGAATTAAAATAGTCTTTGGTGCCAACTTTCTAAAAAAAAGTTTTTCTATGTGGTAATTAATGTCTATATAACTGGTAAACATACAATTTACTAATACTTTAGAGAACAGTCATAAGCCATTAATTAAAAGGACAGACTCCCTTTCTGTACAATTTACTAATACTTTAAAGAACAGTCATAAGACATTAATTAAAAGGACAGACTCCCTTTCATTGTTTTGTGAGCACTTTAATTTATTAGTATGACAATGTTCGACTAGTCACCTTCTGGAAAAGGGCTGCAGGACATCTGGGCCAAAACCGATTTATAAGCTGCTTATTAACATTTATGCTGTAATTTCAAAGTTGAATGATTATTGGTAAATTTACTTCTAATTTGTTTATTTCAGAAACCGTATGTTCTTCAGTCTACAAATGAAACTTGTTCGCTCTGAATGGGATGCTGCTCTGAACAAGACTATGACAAAGAATGTGAAACTATTTGTGCAAGACAAGCTTCAGACACATCTGACACTGAAACAGTGTGTGCTGCACTGCAGTGTAAGCTTTGGGAACAAGAACCCTAAAGAAGTGCAGTGATTGTGTAGTGACTGTAGTGACTGCAGTGACATGCAGCAACTGCTGGGCTGTGACGGAGCTTAGGAATCGCTCTGTTCTAAGCATCTCCTGATGAGGACGTTCTCCTGTCTTCTGCACAGCAGCACAGTATGTTTCACACTGCAGTGCAGTCAGAGAATGGAGGGAGTGGAGAGTGTTGTTCCTCAGCTGTGAAGGCTGTGAGAGCTGTGAAGGGCTATTCACACGCCCTGGAGTTTGTGTGCAGAAAAAACATGCACATAGTATCGCATGTGTTCACATGCACTCTTTAGAGCACCTCTGGGCCTGTTCTGGCTACTGCTGAGTGCTCTCTCACATCACAGGCATCCTGATCAATGCACCAGCTGCCTGACAGGGCAAAAAGGAACATATTTTGTGATTTTTCCACCTTCATGTCTACATTTGAAGTCTGTGACATACTGCCCATAATGCTATCAGCGGCTTGTCAGAATGATTTAGGCCTATAAAACCTATTGCAGTAACTTTTGGACTCTACTGTTATCTATAAAGCACTGCAACACAAAAAACAAAGTCTGACTGTAACCATGAGATGTAACTACACTGGGGATAAGAAATAGTAAGAACCTGGCAAAGAGTTTGTGTTTGGAAAATTAGACATTGAGCTGGCAGGTAGACATGCTTAAGATGGAGATGCAACAGTTCTTTTATTAACAAGGGAATAAGCAGGTGAGTAAGCGAGATGTTGTTTATCCTCCATTATTTCAGTGAGGAGCATCCACCTAATTGGACTCTTTGTTGGGCACACAGACTTTCTCATAACACTATCAGATAAATGATATATATGTTATTATATTTCCATTCCGACTCATATTTAGCTCTGATGCTTGCATCCCATGCTTCTAAAGTTCGATTACTGTAGTTCTCTGTTGTGTGGTATCACAGAGAGCAGCGGGCTGAAACAACAGGTGGGCACAGCGCCATATGGGAGCAAAATGAGGGCAGCACAAAAGGGAAATTGACTATGTGTGTGTGGACTCCATTATTCGCAGTTTTCACACAGCTATGATAAGAAATATAAGTTCAACCAGAGCTTAAAACATCAGCTACAGGGGTTTAAGAGCATGTCGCCGGAAATAGCACTTAATCGGTGGCTTACCTGTGGCTGTACCGTAAGCGCGATGAGAACAATCACAGTCCGAGGCAGGTGGAGCTGTCCCCGCTGTCGCCCAGCCTTCATGTCTGGCTTAACGATGATCTTTCTCCCGTTTCTGTGAACGAGCCGAGTTATCCTGTGCGCTCTTGAGCTCTCCATCCCTGCGTCAGGGGACTGGAAGCCGTGTTGTGCGCTTTGCCGGTGGTGTTGCTGTCTCCCTCCTCCTCCTCCTCCTCCTCCTCCTCCGTGTGTGTACGTCCGTGTGCCCAGCTTTCCTTCTCTTCGGTCTTAAACCCTGGAACTCCCGCAGAGGCACTTCATCGCGTTCACTTCAGAGAAACTACCTCCGCTTGGACTGATCCCCCACCTGCCATATACACTTGATAACCGTCTTGCTGCTGTGTCCAGGGTGGATTTCCTCTGGGGATGACACATGCACACAGACACAGAACATAAACACGCTCCCCTTGTACTGTATTCTTCCCTCCACCTGCGTTAAGAGGCTTTAAATGTCCAGTCTGCCGGTTCACTTGACTCGATCTCTCATCCCAATTAGCTGACACACTTTCTCTTCTTCTTCTTCTCTCTTTGAGCCGGGTCCATGCACAGCAAATTAAAAAACCCAAATAACATCTATAATCATCCTATTATGAGAGTGTGGAGGTGGCGATCAAAGTTGTGCCTCTCTGGCGCAATGATTTCACAAACAGCCGGCTGGTCATTTGTCAACCCGATACGAAGCCCGGCGGCGACAGAGTCAGTGTGGGAAACAAGGGAGAGGGAGAGAGCATGTGAGGGTGTGTCCTGAGGCAGGGAATATCCGTCCTTCAGCTGCTGTCCGGATGGTTCCCAGAGTACACTTATACTCTCATCCCTTTCTCTCGCTCACCCTTTGAGCAAGCGGCAGACCAAGATGAACTTTTTTCTATGTAATCCGCATTTACGCATGGGTTTTTCCTCAATGGGCTTCGTTTCTCACTTGTCCTTTCCGGGTTTCGTGTTTCCTCTCTACCTTTTATTACACCTGACTAGTTACTCTCCTCTAGTTTCAAGCTTCTGCCTTCTCCAGCTCACTTCAAAGCTCGGCCAATTAATTGTTGCAGCTTTGCGCGGGCTCGAGTGGCCTTTGAATGGGAATGTTTCTATAGGCTTTGACGATAAAGGTTAACATAGCCCCTCCGCTGTGAATGATGCAATGAAGTTGTTCACATAAAACCCAAGACACAAACACACGATTGCCTGCAGCAGGTTTATGAGGTGTTTTCTCCTAAAGTTGACCGGTTGTGCCGCGCACGGCCAGGACGCACAGCACAGGTGGCCCTTTGCCTGTGGGCGATTAAATTAAGTTGTTCACATCAAACTTGAAGACTAATTTGCCGTGACCACCACACGCACATTTATGATTAGGCTGCTTGATTCTACAGCTGTCGGCCTGTAGCCCAATGCCTACTGTGCGCACATGTCGCTGCCGGCTGCAGATACTAACTGGGCGAGAGCATAAATAATAATAATAATTTTAAAAAAGAGTATTGTAGGTTTTTTTTAATATTGGCACCAGTCAGATGGCATATTTTCCACATCTGACATCCATTGCTCGTCTTGTTAGACCCAAGATCTCACCACAATGTACAGTAACTAACAGTACCTTCTTTATTAGAGAAGAACTAATGAGATTCGGTCTCCCTCCCTCCTCCTCCTCCTCCTCCATCTTAAGGTCTATCCCGGGTTTGTTGCTCAAGAGCCTTCCTGACAACCACTGACGTGCGGCCTGGTGCTCTGCAGTGACCCCGGACCTCAACAGAGAGCTCTTGAGGGGTAGAGGGCTGATTTGCATAGAGGACCAATGACCTCCAAACACGAGCTGAATTCTAAGCAACCATTCGGAAACGCAGAGATATTAACGAGATATCAGGGGGTCTGCCCAAAAGGCTGATGTGTGTGCTTCACCAGAGGAAGAGTCACCATTAAATGTGTAGCTACAGAAGTGAAAGGCTTGCACACCGTGGATTTGGCACCATCTAATGGTCCCACATGTCCTCTAATGGTCCCAAAATACAGGACTTCCATCCATCATCTATATCGCTTAGTCCTGACTGGAGTCATGGGGGGGCCTAGAGCCTATCCCAGCTGACAGTGGGTGAGAGGCCACACATTTAGATGATTTAGTTTTTGAGATGATTTTTGATCTCACCCTGAAGCAACACTGACAACATCCATGTAGAACTCACCAGTCAAGTTGCCCTGCAACTGAAAGATCATTGTCTTCTTGAACAGAAAGGCACCAGGCATGAGGCCAAGAGCACGGAACACTAACACGCATTCGTTCACTCACACAGGGCGCCTTGGTCGCCAAGGTCAGCACTTTCTCAAGGCAAAATAAGGGAGTGTGGAAAGGCTTGGGAATCTGCAGAGGAATGTGCATTTCTGTGTACACTGTGAGCTGAAGACAACGACTCAGCGCACAGTTTAAGTCCACAACAGGGAGATCCTGTGCGCGCTGGGTATGGTTGATAGTGTGTCTTAATTCGGCTTTTCAGGCCTAATTCACACATCACTCCACCCTATGCTTATGAATTCAGCCTTTAAGAGGAGGAGGTCCTTAATGGCGTGTCATTATTCAGCAACCCTGTAGAATGTGAAAGCTGACTGTGGCCTTTGAGGATACACTGCAAAACATACAGGTGGCATTTAGTAACTGGCAAACTGTGAGATGGCTGTGAACATGGACATTGTACCCAGTGGTGTTCATTAGACATTTGTTTAAACACCAACTACTCACATATCCTTATAAACAGCAGGCTCTTAATTTTTGAGATGGCGTTTAAAATGAATGCTACTCCACTACATCTCAGAGAAGTACTGCTCCTGTTCCTGATGAGCACTTCTAATTTGATTTTATTACAAAACATTTAGTTGAGCAATCTTTCCATTCTTAGCATTATTAGTGTAAAAAATATTTTTTTTTCCCTTTCACCCTGATTCATCTGCTTCAAATGAAGACTTTACATTAACCCACAAAACCCAAGACCAGAGAGAGGAGGTGGCTGATTTCATCCAACAATTGCAAAATACTGCGTTTCTTCTTATATCAGCTGTAACCAAACAGGTACATTCCCATGATTTGATATCTAATCCAGTGTCAGTGGAGCAGTTCCAGCACAGTGGTACGTAAAAGAAAAATGTTTTTGTTGTTCTCAAACACAGCTGTATAAAATGCTAGTATATATAAAATAAACTGCAAAGCATTGTAGTTCAAGATCAGCCAAAAAATGTAATTAATAAAAAAAAAGTCTGGTTTATCTCACGGGGCAGAACACAATCCTGTTTACTCTGCAACCAGGAGGGAAAAGATGAATTGTATGGAGGCCCATGATGCTTTGAACAATCTAGTCAATGTTGCAATAGATAACAAGACTAATGGAAAATCTTATTTCTTTTGAGGCCAGAGAATTCAATTTTCTACACACTATCAATTTTGTAGAGAACGAGGGTGACCAGCAGTCTCAACTGCGTTCCATGTAACATCAACCTCCTGAGACCGAGTTGGGCCAATTGCTTGTTGCCTTTCTCTCCCGCCTATATTTCTTTTTCGAGTTCTGCTGCTGACTGATAAAGACAATTCTGATAATCAGTTTTGTCATACGGAGGGCTGAGTTGCCCGTTTTATGTCCTAAGCAAAAATAACTTCCAAAAATAACCTACACTGTGGTTAAAGATGAGACTTCCTGATGCAGATTTTGGTTGGAGTACCAGCCCACAGGTCAGCAGTCATCCACAGTAGATGGAAGCAGATTTAACACCCTTAAATAAACAGGCTCTTGGTGAATATTCATAAAACTGACATAGTGGTATAGAAAGTAGGTTTATCGCATCATCTAATGGCCTAAGTCTTCGACTGCAAAATAAAAATGAACAAGTTAGTATGAAGAAGAAGTGAGATAAGGCGCTGTTGGAAGAAAAAGTTTTAATGTTTAAAACAAAAAAAAGGGGGATATGAAACATCAAGTTGCTCATAGATGTGTGTACAAAGCCTAAACTAGAAAACTAGCTGTGATACATTGCAGAAATTCATATCGGTAGGACACAGAAGTCTTAACATCCACAAATTTACCTGACAATTATTTCAAAGGTTCAGTCAGAATGGCACAATAAAACACAGCAACGTCATGCAAATAAAGTATACTTACGCATAATCCTGAGAGGAGAGGAATAAGTGACACCACCCATGCTGCACGTCAAATTGTAAAAATGTTTAAGTTTGGATCATTGCAATGCTTTTTTTGTTTTTGTTTTTTTTTTTAAAAAAGGGCCAGTCCAGAGCGAAGAGTTATTTCTTAGCGAATGAGATCTTCATGGCGTTCGTTTGTGTGATCTTAAAGCCCTGTAGCGCATCTCGTGCAGCGCCGGACTGAACTTCATTCTCAAACTCCACGAAGGCGATGTCGTGGCGACCAGGGACCAGGCGCACCTCCTTGAACCCAGGGAACCTGAATACGCAACAACACAGTCGGGTTCAGCCTTTCACAGACAGACAGATACAAATACATGTAATGAAATGCAGAACAGAGGTCGACACTGACTGGTTGAAGAGCATGGACAGCATGAGCTCATTTGTCTCCTCTGGCAGGTTGGTGAGGAAGAGGATGTGATTGGGAGGATTTTCTGCAACCTGCGAGTAGAAAGATCAGCAGAGGTTAGAGCAGAACCATCAGGACAAAATCATGTCATTTGTTTTTTTAAGAAATGACAACATATTCAGTCAGAAGGCAAGTCACATACTACCTGCTGAGGCATTTGTCCAGGAATCATATGACCAGGAGGTATGGCACCAGGAGGCAACTGACCAGATGCCATTCCCGGAGGGGGTATCATGCCAGGAGGGGGCATGTAAGGAGGCTGGCCTGGCATGTGCATCATGCGTGGAGCCTGGTTCATGGGAGGCATTCCCTGCAGAGGGAACAGTGATGAGCATGAGATTCTTCTACCACGCAGTTCCTTTTTTTTTTTTTTTTTTGCATCTTCTGAGACTACCAGGTGTGGGGAGTATGCTGCCTTTTAGTCTGCTGCATTGATGTCAGTTTCATTTCTAAACTTTACTTTGCCTTATCTGCTCAGCAGGGCAATAAAGAAACCAACAGAGGCGAGTAAGACACTTGTTTTACTTATTATTCATTCTTATCTCTCTTATGATGTGAGCCTCTCTTTAGTTACACGATTTTTTTTCCCAAGCAGAATGCAACTTTGTTTAGAAACACATATGTCAGCCAGAAAATGAAACAAATGAAATAAGACTTCTCCAAGAGCTATAGTATGAAAATGCAGTCATGGTTTTCTGAACAAGCAGGATCCACCTTCAATAGTCTGCTACTTAGTTCATATTTATACTTAAGGACATTAGTGAACATTAAATAGATTGTGCTTGATACTTAGCTACATTTTAGCTATAAAAACTCTCAAAGTTTACGTAACCAAATTCTCTTGCTAACAATAATTCTCCTTACAGGCATGCCAGCAAGTACCCCAGCAACCATTGGTGCAGCAGCTCCAGGTACCCCCTTCTTAGCCCCCGCTGCCTCGGGTCCTTTGGGCTTCTTCTTCTCTTTTTTACGGTCACGCTCCACATAAGTCCCCTTCATTTTAGCGATGATGTCTGAGTCCTGCTTGGCATACTGGATACGCTGTTGGAGGACACAGGCGTTAGGAGCACATGTACTTCAGAGGGTCTCTGGAGGGTTTACCAAGTTAAATATATGCCTTTCAAAGGCATATTTAAGACAACATAGAGCAGAATTTAATGCCAGCTAATTGACTGACAGTGTCAAAGATAAATGAATCTCAGAGTGAAAGAAATTATACATGAATTTAATGAATGAACTGGTTTCTTAATGAGAAAAATAATCAATTTACAGTCAGAGGTCTGGAACAATAGCACTGCGGAATTATCAGACAGTTTTTGTTAAAATCAGATACTAAAACATTTTACAATTAATGATACTGCAAGCTAGAAAAAATGCTTGAGCTCAGTAAGAAAAGACATTAAGACCCTCTATGGCCTTTCCTTAAGGAAATTGTAATCAGACCTGTAGACTATATGTTGCATAAGTTACGTTGTGTTAACCTTTTATAAAGTGCACGAAATATTTTGGGCATGTTTTATAGATACGCCCCGGGCTTTCGTATCCACTGTGTGATGATCGTACCATGGGTTTGTCGTAGAAAGGGAATCCCTGCATGGACCTCAGAGCGTTGGACGCGCTGTTGACCTCTTTGAAGATAACAAAGGCCTGCCCCTTCATCTTTAGGTTTCGCGCGACCAGGATGTCCAAAATCTGCCCGAACTGTGAGAAGATGGCGTACAGCGACTTTTTCAACTCTACAGAAAAACGAAAAAAAGCATTAGCTGATAGGAGAGCGTTTAAATAGCATCATCTAGCATTTAACTAAGCCACTCACGGAAGGCTGAACGGCGAGGAGCGTAAACTCACCATCTTTCTTTATTTTCTCATTCAAGTTGTTGATGTAGATGGTATGGTTAAGTCGTACCTCCGCCGTGGCCATATTCTAACCTGCTAAGGAGAAAAATATAACCTAAAGCCAACTACAAACTTAATTCCTGATTAACCGCCTATCAGCTAACCAGCTAGCCACGTTTAGCAAACAATCACCCAACGTGAATAAAGAGGGGGTGAACGTTAGCCTAAAAGCTAACTACTAGCAATAGCTAACATTACTTAACTTTACCCTACTACAGTCATCTATCTCTTACTCCCGCTCCCCATCATTGTCACAGACAAGCTTCTAAATTAGTTACCTAAATCAACAAAGGGTTTGCCAATAGCCCTGAAATTCAAAGATAACTTCAATTATCCAGCTCGTTGTCGACCCAATTCAACGTGCAATCAGCCACCCGCGATAGAAACACAATGCATGCCGGTTAGATGATTCTTCTTCTTCTTCTTCTTCTTCTTCTTCTTCTTCTTCTTCCTCTCTAGGTTTCACGGCGGTTGACGTCCTTAGCGTTGCATTACCGCCACCTTCTGTTTGTAGACCAACGTAAACACCCTGTTACTCCATATTCTTTTGTAATGAATTAGAGGTCTTCCCTTTGACAAATTATCCCAACATCCCCGCCACTCTTGTATAATTTTCTTCCAAACCAATCTCTAAGTCATTTTCACATCATATTTTCCTCTGCACTAATGGCTGTTTGTCACCTATTTCCAGCAGGACCTTAATATTCCAATCCTTTTACAAACCGACTACCCTACTCTTCAGACTTTCTTTTTTGTGATTGTAGGCCTATCTCCTACAACTAATCATTACATGTTCTACTGTCTCTTTACAGTTACAAGCAATAGATTTATCTGAGTCTGATTTTTGCCAGCTAGACTGAACTACATTATATTCAGAGGTGTCTGAATATTTTTGTTCTGCCCATTGACATACAGTACATGAGAGGGTGAGAATATTAGGAACACCTCTGAATATAATGTAGTCCAGTTTAACACTACCTTTAACTATGACCTCAATAATGAACATATAGTTGGAGGTTGAGCAGCTGGTCCTATGGTGCAGTCGCAACAATCTAGAGCTGAACACGCTCAAAACAGTGGAGATGACAGTGGACTTTACAGGTCACTGTACGCCAAGACAACCAGACACAAGGACAGTTTCTTCCCCTGAGCCGTCACTCTGATTAAGACTTAACCCAGGGCAGTATGACTGGACAATACCCCTCAGTGCAATACCAGTAAATATACATTATACAGATTATACAGATTCGTACAGGCCTCTATTTTTAAGTACTCCATTTTTATTCTATTCTTATCTCGCTTCCTAATGAACATTCCTTGTCTGTTTGCATTGTTTATTGCTTTGTTTATACTGTTATATACTATACAGCCTTATACTGGTATATTGTTTACTTGCCCCTTGCTGTTGCCTTGCATGGGGTCAAAGTTCAAAGTTCAAAGTGTTTATTTGTCATATGCACAGTTAGGAAACTTAAGGCAGAAGTGTTGCATTGAAGTGCATACAGTTGTACAGGTGGTCATAATGTTATGCCTGATCAGCGTAACATTTGGGTGGGGACAACCTTTGAACAGCATTATTATACTAGAGGGAATAACACCAAACACAGCAGCAAAATCCTCTGGAGTAATTGGGACACAAAAATTCCTGATAAGTAAAGAGCAATGTTTGGTCATTGAAAAGCTGACTTACAAGCTATTTATTATTAAACCAATGTTAAAAATATATAGATCTGCTTTTATGTAAAATCTGTTATTCAAGATTATATATCTGTGTGGTGAAAAACTTTGCTCACAATTCATAAACCCAGCTACTAAGCACTGCTCATGAAAATGATCATTTTAATGGAATTTTATTTAGGCCTAACTAAAGTTACCCTTTTTATGCGGAAGAGGATATATTGAAGGGAATGGTATTAGAAACTGAAAGGAAATTGAGTATTAAAGGTCTGTTGGAGATAGGGGACAAGCAATTTCAGATGCAGAGATTAGATATTTAGAACCAACTGGGTTAGTTCTAATTAGTTAGTTAGTTCTAAATAAAAAACCCACTGCAATTAGGGGGAGGCGATCGTGCCGCAGATGGCTGCCATCGGTTCTGTACCGGAAACAAATTCCTTGTGTGTAACATACTTGGCCAGTAAAGGTGGCTATTATCCTTAATATCAACCCTGAGGTCCCCTTTGAAGGGGACCCTCGGGCTGAACGGAAAATACAGGAATGCTACGCGAGTTGTGATAGCCGACCCCCAACATAGTATACATCAAAATGTTCAGCGAAACCTCGGCTACAACGTCATATAAACCATTTTCCACACAATAAACACAGCAAAAGCAATAAAGCACAATAAAGCAACATCTTAGGTCCACTAGAGGGCGCTCTGCCAGGGCATACGATTCATAATTTGGCATATTTTACAAACTATAATCCATCAAAACAAAGCCCACACTTCACAGATTCCATAAATGCATCGGTAAAAACGCTACGTAAAAGCGTTACAGAGATACAAGCCAACAAACTTCAACAACAGACATCGATTCGCGAAAAGTACAGCGAAATTTCTCATCTTACCTTTGACACTGCATTTCCTGACTCACAAAATGGCGTCGGTTTGGAAAATACTATTATTTCAAGGATAGGGGGGTTCTGGCTGGATAGAAACAGGTTTACATTGGTGCTGGCCAGAAACACCCCTCCCCCTATGGTGCGGTCTTCTCGACTGCCATTGGTCCACGATACTGTCAATAATTCCACAAACTCGATAGCCTCATTCTATAGGTCGAGAGGAATCCAATGAGGGCTCATTTGTCTGTATGCGGAAATCTGGGACCAAGCTATTGTCCCGCAAATGAGGAGAGCGTCAGCTCTGGCTGTTCCGTGTTCCATCTTTATTTACCCTTCAAAAACAAAACATCGAAAGGTATTTACACCACCTGACAAATCTCACAAGTGTTCCCTTTCGTTTGACACCGACAGTAACCAAATACACCGTGGAGATATACACATTTTATTTCGGGGAGGCGCCGTCGATTTAAATCCCCAAAACAGGCGCAGGGCTTATAGGGTAATAATAATAATAATAACATAGTAATACAGTATCATTTAAGAACACTCACAAACAGACAGAAGCCAAAGAGATATCCAGCGTCTGATATAGGCCAACTCCCACCGGGGGCTTAACCGTGGTGGCCCAGAGGAGCAATACACACACTAATATATTAAAACTAGTTAAGAAATAAATTATTAAAAGTGACGAAAATAGCAGGGTACACTGTACGTACTGTAGATTAGCCATGATATTATACACTCCGGTACAGGAGGTGGTGGCATACGTCGGTCTGTAGCCTGGTAGTAAAACGCAAGAAGAAGAAGACGTAAAGGATGAAGGAGGAGAAGGAGGAGAAGAAGAAGAAGAAGAAGTAGTAAAGTTCATGTTAGTAAAACTCACACTGCTGAAAGAATAATAATAATCTGTGTTGTAGGGAGTGGTGCTAAGCTGAAAAAGATGTGTAGGGGATCCAAATAACGGGATATATGCACGTAGACACCAACCCAGATATTGTTCAGGGTCGAGTTGAAATACTTTGCTAATCTTCCAGCTGGCTGTAAGAGAGTGAAAGCCGATCTGGTAGGTCGTATGGATGCTGGGGTGGTCGAGTGTATCTTTACAGACATTTGCTATCAACACAGCTGTTGCATATTGCCCTCTTGCAGTGTCTCACAAAATGCTAACGGTGCTAGCACTTCTGTCAGGGCTGACCCAAAAGGACCTCAGAGAAAATGCCAGTGGACTGTCCGCTCCCACCTCCTCCACCTGCTCCAGCTCCACCGCCGCCTTCTCCAGCGTCAGCACCCAAGAAGAAGCTGTATCAGACAATAGCGAGCAGAAGGAGTCCTGTGGAGGGGGACCACACAGAGGCCCGCTTCCTGCTCAGCCAGAGGGAGAGCAGGTGAGGTTTTCAATGAGGAAATCAACTTTTTAACTTAAATATATTTTGACCAGGGCTAGTCTCCGTGTCCAGAGATCGGGTCATCGGGGCCCCTGCCTTCGACTGCTGCCCAATCCACTGTGCACCAGCCCCTTACGGATCCTCCTGCAGGTGGTGGGCCCACAGTCATCTTCTTTTGGAGTCTGAATACATTTTCAATCCAAACATCTTAATTTCTGCACGTGCGTCTTCTTCCCCTCGAGCATTGCAGTAGTTTCCGTATTCACCATCTGACATATTGTCATGCTCTTTTAATGACACTTACCAGAACCCTGCACTGAAGCTGTTCTGGTGGCAGCTGGTGACCCAACACTTTACTGAGACACTTCATGTTAGGTTGTCACTTGTCTGCAGATAACTGAGTTATCCAGATTACATTGTTGAGGATTGGACAATCCTTAAAACTCACACTGCTGAAAACAGTTAGCTGGATCATGACCAAGGCGTTTTAGGGGTTACCCCATAGATGAACTAACCAGCACAGGTAGTTCACAGTCTCAGATTTACACTGAAAGACATAGTTTTGATATAATTATGATTTTGTATGAGAGCATGTAGGTTGTTGAGAAATCACCGCTGTCTGTTCAAAGTTCAAGTTCAAAGTCTTTATTTGTCAAATGCACATTAGGAAACGTGTTTCCCTGTACAATGAAATTCTTACTTTGCCGTCCACATGAATGCCACAAAATACAAATGAAATATAAAGTAGATAAATAACACAAAATCTAAGGCACTTTAAGCAGCGCAGATGCAGCAAAATAGTAGAAAAAATATACAAGCATATAACAGAATGTATGCTGCATGGGAGCAGCATGTGCAGCAGAGTCGTAATGCAAAATCTAGGACACTTTAGGCAGCAACAAATGCAGCAATACAATAAAAGAATATAATAGAGAATGTATGTTGCATGGGAGCAGCTTTACAGCATCCACACAACAAGAAATTGCAATACACACATTTCTCAGTCATCCCTCTGTCCCTAACTCCAGATTCATGACACCAAGATTTGTACTATCTAGAATCTGATACAGACTAAATTAATTCAGACAAATCATCCCAATTTAAATAATCATTTAATATTACAATTATTCTGAACAGGATAGTAGTTAGATAAGCAATCTGGTAGTTAGGGAACAGAGAACAGAATCGCTCCTCCTGCAGTGGAATAGATACAGAATTAAATAAGGAGATTGTCACAGAGTCAGTCAGTCTTGGTCACAAGGTACAGTCAGTCCAGAGTCCCCCTGACCGGGTCCAAAAGCACACTCACAACTGCAGCACCATCATTCCTTCTCCTTCTAACCCACAGCTGTCCTAACCTTTTATCTTCTCGCAGTTAAACAGCCTTGCCTGAGCGCACATTTCCTTTTTCTAAACATGAACAGAGCACACAAACCGTTCACATAAGGCTGAAGCTACGTATGTCCATTCCCCATTTAAGGAGGAATTTGCTCTGGATGTTTACCCATAAATTAACAGGGAAGACACAAGTCAAGATAATCTTGCTTGAGCAAAAGAAGAGAAGAGAAGAGAAACAAATCAAGCTTACATAAACACTTAGCTCACCCTTACATAACTATTACAAATAATATCTATATATGAACTACATACTATTCTATTACATATTACCTCTGGACTGGTACCTTGTTTGTTTTTAACCACTATAATACCACCGGAGCTACAACTCATTGTCCGCTCCCGCAAAAACAACAACAACAACGACGACGACAACCACCATCAGCCTCAGGGAGCCCCCGGAGCACCAGGCACAAGTGAGCAGGCTGAAATCTGGAGAGCGACCCGGAGACAGAGGGGCAAGTGAGGCAAGCGCGGGGGACTCCATGCTAGGCTAAAAGCTGGCACTACTCAACCGCCATTACCCAGCCTCTTCCTAGCTAACGTACAGGTGTTGGTGTACTTATCACAGTTTATGAGCTACCAGCTGTCCCAGAGCTGTTTGAAGAGGCAAACAGTTGTTCTCATGGAATAGCATGTATTATTGTTTTGCTTCAGGTTTAGGAAGGACCTGCAGTGGATACTGGTGAACACATATGTGCCCTCCCTCATCCAAGATGGTCCACAGTAAGTCAGTAAACTATGGTTTCATGTTTGTCAAGCTACACCTTGATCTGTATTTTACTTGCAGTGTATTTGTACTTACAGTACGTAACAAACTCTTACCACTACAGTTGTATGTATAATGGGGCTGTTGTAAGTTTTGTTTGAACCTAAGTCCTTTTATGTTCAAGCCATTAAACATGACATGTTTTCCATGTCCTAACTGTGGGTGTGTTGTTCATTTACCTTCTAGGTGTGGTCTGGTGGCTCTGTGGATGGCTGCTCAACTTCGACAGCCACAGCTGCGTATTGACATGGAAACACTGGTTCAGACAGCGAAGAGAAGGGGATACACGGTACATGGGGAAATGTTTTCAGGTAACAAAAGTGTGTGAACTGTTTTGGCCCAGTCATTTTAAACAGTACACCGGGAAACAAAAACAAACAGGGGTATTTTTGTATCATAATGGATTACTCATTTCTGTTGAGGTGCAGTAGACGTCTTCTGATAACGTTGAAAAGCACTGGAGCCTCCCAAAAGAAAAATAAATACCTCGACATCATCAGGTGTTGCCTGAAGTGCAAATAACACATTTGGCTCCGTGAACCGAGTGTACTTAAAAACATGTGGAAGTTATGTAACTTATTAGTTTTAGTGGTGATTCAATCTTTATTTATTGCAAGTAGGTAAACTGCAGTTTCATACAGTGTTGACTTTGTGGTATTTGTTTATATTAGTGATAAGATTTTCCTTTTGTCAGCTAACAACATGGCCCTGCTGGCGGAAGAAGCCTGTGGCTGTAAGGCAGAACTGCTGTTGGGAGGGTTAAACAATAACAATGCTACAGCCATCATCACACACCTGTGGGGGAGGCAGCCTGTTGTCATCCCGTATCCTGGACTCAAACAATGTTATCTGTGTAAAAAAAACAAACAAAAGTCTGATGGCTGTTATATTATCAGATTAAAAAAAAATAATATCTGCATCCGCCTCAAAAATCCTACATAGGTCAGGCCATGCTATCTGAAATAAGAGAAAAGATTACAGGATAAAATTCCTTGACAGTATACAGATATGATGAGGACTACAACCATGAGCCGTGCCAGCGTAGCGGCCACAGGGCGCACTGGGCCGTCGCTTCAGGTAAGTGTGGTCGCTCACTCAGCAGAGTTATGTTTCATTAAGGTGGTTCAGAAAAGCAGGGCTTATTGTATGAATAAACTAACTGAACCAGGATCAGTCCGTTTCATAAAGCTAATGTAAGGAGTCCAGGATGAGTCTGGTTTATTTCATGAAACAGACCTGAGGCATCAAAGGCTGATCACAATTCACAGTGAAGAAGACGGGTAAGACCGAATTATATGGCGAGAAAATTTTACAGAAAACCCGTCTCATTTATTTTATAGCAATAAAAGAAATTATTTTCTCTTATTTAAGAAATGTTTCCTGTCAGTTGGATTGTGTTACTTGGCGTGTACATGTGACATAACAGCCTCCATATGGTGAAAGTATCTTCGGTTATGTTCTGCCGCTTTCTGCATTTTTAATAAAGGGATTTCTGAATTAAAAAAAAAAAAATTTAAAAATAGCTAAAATATTTAATATTAAGCAGCAGTTTATCTGCTTTAGTTTAATTTCAGTGCGTTTAAAAGTGCTGACTGAAGTCTTGACTGAAATACTGTGCTGATGTTTTACTGTGCGGACCCCAGAGTTTCATGATGCCACCGAGTACGTGTGTTGGTATGCGACATAAATTTTACATGTACTGGAAACAGGCTCATGTTCACACACACAGTGCAGCGGTAAAGAACTGTGGAGAAAACAGTATCACTCTTGACAGATTGATTGTAATCTGGGGTGAAGCTAAGCCTGGTACAGTAACTAGCCTCACCGGGACCCACGGGCTACTCGTGAGGGACATGGTACGTGAGGTCAGACCTATTTAAACCACCTTTATGAAACTGAATGTTTTGAAAATAAGTGTGGTTTTACTGGTAATCTTGCTCTATGAAACCTCTGTTTGTTCCAGGTGTTCTTCTCGGTTTAGACCAGAGGAGCGTGGGACAAGAGCACATTCAGCCTGATCCCACTCTGTCATGGCTTTACCTGCCCAGCGACACCACCTGCCCCTGTCCTGTCGGCAGCGCAGGACTCAGAGAGGTTTACATCCTGGCTAAGCAAGGTAAAAGCTTGCGCTACCAGCTGTGGAGTTTGGACAGCGTCACTCAGAGCAATGAACAGCTGAGGACAATGGACCCTCAGAGAGCCAGTGATGGAACCCAGTATGTTGTTCCACAAGGAGGCGTGGAGGCAGGGCTGGCAGGACAGGCGGTGTTGCTCCACACGAGGACACAGAAGCAGG